CATACTCTTTATAATTCTATTTCAAAATAAGACTTCAGGAGCAGTTGTTTTAGAAACTGTCTTTTGTGCAAGTGTAAACATGTTCTAATTCTAAGAACTTAATTATAATGTAATGCAGATGTGCATGACTGTGTTGAACAAATAGTTACTTCCAGTCAATTTGAATCAAAATCATTGCTTCATGAAGCTAATAACACGAGAAAATAATGTTTCACAAATATTTCAGAAGTAGTTTTTTATTTTAAAAAAAATACAAAGTGTGACGTAAATACAATATTTTGTTTCTTAATTACTACTCTAAATACTAGAATATGAAAGAAAAATAACCTATGTTTATATCATACACATATGACATTCGTGTAAAATGCTTTGTTTCATTTGTTTACTCTGATTTACTTTGATTTTAAACGTGTTAAAATTAATATAAATAACATATCACATGACACAATTGCAAGAAAGGTATGATACACAACGAGGATCATTCAAATTCGACGGTAGTCGAAAAGTTTTAAACAAAAAAAAAGGTTACCGATTTATAAAACACATAATGAATGTTCTAAAGTGTATGATTTTTATGATTTTTTCCGAATTGCGCTCAACAAAGATATAGTACTATCCATAATTCATTAGAAAAAGAGGCAAATTCTACACTTATTCTGTGTCTACGTTTACTCAGAAGCATTACAATGAATAATAAAAAAATAATATTCAATTTAGACTTGGAAGAATGAAGTGATATTTATATTTGTTAAATTTTCACTTTATTTGAAATCTTCACCATGAGTCTGACACGATATTTCTTTCTGAACTGTGATTGATCTAACTATTTTGTTATTAATAATTTATTGAAAATAAGAAAAAATTTCAGTCTTATTCTATGTCGACGCGTGCTCTCAAGTATAAACGTTGATAAAAGGGGAATAAAATGTATTTCGCACTCAAACAAATTGAATAATATTTATGTTTGTTGAATTCTATTTGAAATGTTCACCGCGAGTCTGATACGATATTGGGACATTCCCAATACTGAATCTTTCCTCTGTTACCGTATAGACACCTACGTGAAAACGTATCTGCGGGATGGCGACAGGTGGATCCAGAAACGCAAGACGCGTGTGGTACGGCACAAGAGGAACCCGGAATACCGTCAGACTATTAAGTATAACAGCTGTGACGCTCTGGAGAGAAATCTCCTGGTGATGCTGTGGGAGAAGAAGCAGGCCTTCGAAAGTAATCAGGGCTTAGGCGGGGCCGAAGTGAACCTCGACCGTCTTCCACTGACACGGCTGACCGTCGATTGGTATCCGTTGTTCCCAATCCATACACTTGGCACCCACACCGCGGACTCTCCATGATGGCTCAGGGAAAAATGGGCCCTCGAGGCCGGCGAACTCGACCTCAGGCTGAGCCTTCTGCTCAAGAACGAGGAAGAGCCTGCGATCAAAATTATCTCCTGATGGAACCCGCCACTGTTCCTTTTCAATACCGTCATTCGTCTAGGTACCTTCTCTATTCTATTTGTCGCCGTTGTTGCTGATCAACGCGAACGTACCCATTGTTTGTCCAGTTCATAACATTATGACGTGTTCGTACAGCAGAATCTTGGTCTTCGAGCGTGGCAATGTTTTTTATCGTTTGATTATTATAATTTTAATATGTTTATAAAATAATTGTTACAATTAATATAATTGAAATTTCATGTGGTCTAATTTGATTTGATTTAATTTAATTAATTCATATTCCTTCAAAATATATATATCGAGTGTAATGAACATTAAATATTGAATTAAATGAATGTAGTTCGTAGACGGGTGAGAATGTTTCTTCAGATTTAACTGAACGTTTGGGTTTGCCTTATAATTAGAAGGTTTTAATTATATTTTTGTTTTTAAATAGAAACTGTGAGAATAAATGTTGAAGTTTTTAGAGTCTTCAAGTTAATACGTAAAGCTATGGAGAAATTATAAGATTGCAGTTATTGATAAATATTTGTTTAAAATTTTTGTTGTAAAGGTTATTTTCACCTTTACTGATATAACTTCTATTTTCCTTAAGCAGTCTTTGCAGTGGATGAATGCAGTTTGAAACGAGAACATTCCATAATTCGATTGAAATATGTAAATTAGACAAAACAATCAATAAAACGTTAGTGTTTTTGATATGAAAGCAAAGAAGAAAACTCAATAAAAAGAATCTCTAATAAATCTGTTAAGAACAGATTATAGTGAATAGTTTCATTTTGTTATT